GTGTGTGTGTGTGTGTGTGTGTGTAGCTTAGGATGGGATGTCTGGGGTCCCAGAGTAGAAGCTGGGTGAGCTTCCCCCAGAGGCACCTCCTGACAAGCTTTACTGTCAGACATTCTTTTGGCACCATACGTTTTCTCTGTGCTTAGCCCTGTGCTGGTCCCTGGGGAAGCAAAGATGAAGGGCACATCTGGGCACTGATTCTTTCTTGTTTTATGAGACTGTAAGAAGGTAGAATCCCCTTTTATAATACTACTTCTTTTTTGGCTATTGAACTATTCCCTTTCATTGGTTTGAGTTACACTTTTTAATTAACTTCTAATGCATAGTTAATGTAATTAAACCATTAAAAGTTAAAAATTCTACAGATTGTCTCATATTAAAGTATATGTTATAATTTAAGACTTTTTTGTTATGGTCTTTTTGGTTATTTTGGTTCGTCCTCTGTGTTTTATGCTTAAGACATTAAAAACCAGAGCTATTTTAAGTTGAATGCCCTTAACTCCCTTGAATCAACCACACTTATGTTGCTTTTTCCTTCCTTAAAGTTATGATGTTATAGGCTATTGCTTCTCAAATTTTGTGAAGGAATAAATCAACCAGTCTGACAGTTGTTAAACCATAAAGGTTCTAAGTAAAAATGATTTTGTCTGCACTATGAAACTCCATTCATATTCCTGTAGTGGTCTGTGAACTTGTGCATATTCTTGATCTAAGTACTTAATTCACTTTAAATCCATTTTATGAATATTGTGTATGTGTAGATTATAATTTATGTAAAAATAATATAAGCATTGCATTATATGTTTTAATTTCTTACATGTTAGTAAAAAAGACATTTAAACCATTTGATTTATAACCTTGTATCTGCCCCCTTAAACATTTTCGTAGAGGATCCAGCATAGTTCAGTGCTTCCTTCCTATGCAACACTGGTCTAAATGCTTGCCCATCGAAACCCTGATAGCACAAACACTGCCTCCCGCACCGCGGCTCCCTGTGATCCGTGACTAATCCTGCGGGCACTGCAGAGAATGTTCCGTCCCGAGTCGGAACTGCGGACCGCCTGCCTGGAAGGGTGACGTCACCTCCATGTGTGCCTGCGCATGCGCAGCGCCCCTGATGCAGGGATTTGTCACCCTGCTCTTTGTGTTCAGGGGTGCGTGGTGCCTGCGTTTCCCCCAGATAAACTAATGAGTGAAATTCAGTAATTACCACCAAGACTTGATACTGATGGTAATCTTCCAGCTCACTATGTAATGTTCCTTTTGGTTGATGTTTTAAAATGCTGCTTTATTTAACAGCACACTTTCATGATTGCGAGAATCTGTGTTCTTAAAGGATAAGGTGGTTTTTGTTTGTTTTGCTTTTCAATTTCTGTCACTTTCCATTTAACCATTTAGTAAATGCTACGGTATAGCTGACAGGGTCTCTGAAACGGATGAGGAGCACAGCTGGTCTTGTGGGTTGTCGTCTAAGGACAAACCCCAGTGCAGGAGGCAGGCAGGCGGTTCAGAACAAGGGAACGGTTCATTCGTTCAGCGCAAATGATCAGGTTACTGGCATCTGATTGTCAAACCTCAGAGGGAAGGCAGGGGTGGGGGGCGGGGGTGTAGAAATCAACCAGTGTACTTGCATGCATATAAGCATAACCAATGGACACAGACAATAGGGGGGTGAAGGCCTGGGCTGGGGGACAGGGGCAGTCTGGAAGAGGTCAATGGGGGGGAAGGGGGGGACATATGTAATATTTTCAACAATAAAGATTTTAAAAATGAAAAACAAATAAATTTAACCAAAATTAACCTGTGTTTTAGTTTAAGATTATCTTTAAAAATTTGATTCATTTTTAACTCATTTATTTCATCTTAACTTTTTTAACCACAATGTAAAAAACAACAACAACAAAACCCCACACTTTTAGAATAATGTGGTACATAAAAGCTTCTACTCATTGTGAACATATTTCCATAGTACTTTTTTTCCCTTCTTAAATAAAAAAAAATGTGTGGGGGGTTGTTGTTCCTTTTCTATTTGTCTTTAAAAAAATCTAATACCACGGAAGTGACCAAGTGAGCAAGCATTCTGGTCAGCAATGACTCGCTTCAAAAGGTATTTGTCAACAATAATAATACAGCACCTCCTTGCAGAGCCTCAGGATAAAATTGAGAAATTGATTTGACCAGTGAGGTATTAGATAGTTGAAGTTTCAGACCATCGATTCATCTATTCGGCTAAAAGATTTTCCGTTGTTGAATGATAACTTGTGGAATATTTCCTCCTAGGGCAGAGAGGTTAATTTTCCTTCTTATAAATCATGCTATAGGAGTGGCCATCTGAAAACACTGAGCTTATATTTCACAACCTAACATAGAAAGTGTTGAGGAGCATTGGGGTGCTTGCATGGCGGTTCAGGGGTGAGAAGCTGGGGAAGTATGTTCATTTGTTCATTCATTCATTCATTCATTCATTCACCCATCCATGTTTATCCACCATGCTGTGCCTGGCCCTGTCCTGGTGTCTGGGATGCAGCAGGGAACAAAGCAACCATGCTCTGGCTAGCAGGTGGATTTAAGGGAAATATGAGTAATTTATGAGCAGGAGTTTAAAATGTATCTCAGATTGACATGCTGCTGAACCTAACAGCAGTTTAAAAGTTGGTAACAGTCACTTTTGGCAAGTTATATCATGCTGAACCTGGGATTTACGATCTTTTTAAAGAGTATGTTAAAACCTCTAAATATTCAAATTCATTTGTTTTAGGAAGAGGGGTCATTACAATTGACTTGAAACTGGAAAGAGGAAAGAAAATCATCAAGCGCTACCTGCACGTTTATATTAACATCGATAAAATCTGATTTTTTACCCAAACCCTTTTTCCCCAATGATAGTCAGCAACTATTAAATCTCAGGATCTGAGAGTAGTGCCACATGTTATGTGAACATTCTGACCAGCTTCCTCGCAGACTTGGATTGAAGGAGCGTTTGTTGTGTGGTTTAGGTCCCCAGGAAACATCCCTGCCCCAGCGGATGAGCCTGGGCTGACTGCAGTCTGGGCCCTGTTCTGTCTCCTGGAGCTAGCATTTCATTAAAACCCACATGGGCCTCTCTGTGTCAGGTAGCAAAATGTCCTTTAAATTGTAACAAGAACCCATCCATCTTTCTGCGTACATCAGTGTAAGTTCTATGCATTTAGAAAAAGGTATATGCTGTACACAATATGAGTACAACTAAGTGCCCTCTGACTTTGCCCACTTACCTCTTTCAAGTTGCTCTTCTTTTGTCTGCCCTATCTCTTCTAGTTGTTGTTTTGTTTTTTTAAAAATCAAAATTATCTTTGTGGTATCCCCTTCCACCTATTATTAGCATTTTCAAACTCCCTTGGTGACACTTAGAAGTAAAACTGCTGCTGACTCCTGGTCTGTGGCCCAAAGATGAGGTTTGTGATCTCAGACGTATGGCTCCAGGTGGCATGTGCTGTTCCTTTCCCTCTTCGTGCGTGTGGGAGGAGAGGTGTGTGCTTCCTGGGATCGTCACTGAGCGTAGCCCTTTGTTCCTAAAGTTTAGGAACCACAGCAAGGTCCTGTAATGCATTAGGAAAGAAGACAGAGGCAGTTGTCTTGTCTGTAGTGTAATCTAGAATCAGTGGAATGGCACAGAAGCCATTTCTTTGTAATTTGTTTTTATAGTCACATACTCTGTTTTCATAAATGGCTCCTCAGGGCATGGTACAGAATCTGCCTTTTTGATCTAAGGATATTTCATGGCTGAGTTCCTCCTGCTTCTAATTAAAAGTTACGTGATGTACTTAATCTGGCTTTAATATGTATACATACTTTCTCAGTCTTTTGCTTCTTGGATGTTTTTTTAAAAATGGAAACGAGATAAAAAAATAATGCTTTAGGTGACCACCATAATAGCCACACACTCAATTTCTTTGTGTGTAGTTTTATATTTCTGCTCCCCCACCACCTCCTATTTTCTTTTCTGTTTAAAAAGTTTTAATTGACAGTTTTAATAAAATTAACATCCCTTTTCCTGTGACACATTCAACAAAAACATAGTGATAAAGCTGTTTCGAATTTGTATTCTAGTCTGTGTTTGGACATGGACATATATCACAATGCATGTGTAACACATTTCAACACCAGTTCAGCCGTCGATTCTGTGCCTTTCCTCCTCTAGAAAGACTGAGTTTTATTTAGGGGAGAAACTCAGGAACTGTGATGGGCTAATGTGACTGCAGTTTTAAGAAACTGAAGCTACATGGGAATGAGCTTGTGGCTTATAGTAGGACATAGGAAGTTGCGATTTTCATTGTTAAATTTTGTTTTCTTTTTACATCTATATGATGTTCTTCCTGTGGGGTGGCCTGAAACATGGCAGCGCTAACTTCTGTCATTCCCTCCATCCAGGGTATGATAAGTAGATGTGGTTCAGAGTCAGCAGGAATTGTCAGGGATGCTTTGCGAGTATTAGAAGTCCCACAGTCCTCTTCTGAGGCACCAGCACTGGGATTAGCACATTCTCCTTGTGGAGGTTGTGTGAGAGGGAGCCAGAACCGCACGTGGGGCTCCCATTTCTGGACTGTGGAAGTCCAGGACTGCAGTTTGTGGTGGCACCTCCCAGAGGGCTTTGCTGTGTCCTGGCCAGGGCATCTGTGGGCATGGGCTCTGTGGGAGTGGTAGGAAGCATGCCTTGTCTTATCTGGTAGCACTAGAAGGGGGATCCTTTTCAAATCCCTGTAGATTGGGATCTATAGCTGAGGCTTAATTCTTTCTAGTATTTCTATGATTTGGTCTGCTTCCACATTTGCCCGGGCATCCTAGCATTTTGTGCTGCTTATGGAACTTGTCATCCTGTGCCTTGTTCTATGAGTATATATAAACCTGGCTCCTTGAGGCCTGAGGTGGTGCCTCATTTCTCCTTGCATTTGCCCTACTTCCACCTGGGTCCATCTCAAATGGAATCGGATGTAATGAATCTTGCAGACACATTCAGTGAATTACCCAATGACTGGCAACGAATTGCTGAGACTAGATTGCATCCATTCAAGAGTTTTGAAGGAATCTTAAGGATGAAATTGCAGAATTCTTGGCTCTTGTTTGGCGTTTTATAAATAGTCACTGTTTTACAAGCTTGGTAGGTTGCCAGCACCAAGCGTGGTATGTTGGAAAGCAAAGCGGCCTGGTGATCTGGAGGTCCAAGCCTTTTCATGACCAGCTAGGTAGTAGGTACACCAAGCCTCCTGGACCCCAGGGTCCTCATCACCATTTGTCGTGGCCGTCTTTGTGCAAAGTCTCTGGTGAGTCTCAGTGTCATTGTTAATCCTGTTAAACTGGGTGGTCAGTATGTGCATTCTATGGGCAGGAAAGATTTACTTTAAAAAAATCAAACTACACCATTAATTTAGTCATCCTTTGCTCCTATGAATGATAATGTTGTAGGGACTGGATTTGGTTATATTCCTCCCAAAGGTGCTGCTTTTGTTGTTTGCTTGCTTGCTTTAGCAGGCTACTAACTTGGCGGGACCCAAGCTACAAACTCTGTAGTGGGCAACAACTCGAACCTTGGTGAGATCTTTCCTCTTTAGCATAGAGCTTAGGCTGCTTGGAGCTTGCCCGGCACATGCTCGGGGGACACAGCCAGAGATCTGGGCTTAGATGGGGCCGTCCTCTGGCTAAAAGCCATAGTAGGGAGGTGCACCCAGTGTCATTTCCTTTTCCCAAGAGTCTCTCCCTGCTTTTGGCCACACTCCAGTGCCTCGAGATAGTTGCGTTTTGTAGATTTAATTGGTGGCAGGCCTGGTCCAATCGGAGCCCCTCAAACAGACCTGAAGTGGAAGCTCCGTTTGTTTACTTTCTAATTCCAGGTTTCCATGTTGGCACTGGTTGTGTTACCAAAGCTTACAGTTTGAATGCTTTTCTTGTACTATTTTGGCAAAAACATACAGGAAAATCGGGATGGGGCAGCAGTCTTTTATTTTTTTCTAGAGAGTTCTCTGCCAATAACCATAGTTGCTAGTTTTGATGAACCTAGATGGCCTCCGTTAGAGACCTCCAAGAGAAACAGCCTGAGGCGTTATTATGAGTATGAGCATTTTGACCTCAAACTTCCATGTGGGCATTCACCCTGGGGAGCTGGACTGGACATGTTTGGGCTGCAAGAATTCCTTCTGCGTAGATGGATGTTGGCTTGGCCCAACTTGCCTGCCGCATGCTTCTTCTCCACAAGATTCCACTTGGCCATCTAAGAGACGGGGGTGTGGGGAGGGTTGGTTTGCAGTGAGAAAAGGGCCTTGGCCACCCTCTGAAGCAGGTGGCACTGGGCCATCTTACCCCATGAGCCAGTGACATTCCTCCAGGGGAGCATGACCCAGAAAGCCAGGGAGGGCAGAGCCCACTGGGAGCTGCAGCCAGTCCCCAGCTATTTATAATCCTTCTCTCCTCCCGGCCACTGTTTGTGACTAGAGTCTGATAGATGAGGCATTGGGCTCCCCCTAGAGGATTTAGTGTGCCAAAACAGCAGTTTTTAGAAAACTGCAGCCACGTTACTTGCCAGTATTTACATGAATCTACAAGATTAAAATGAAGATTTTTGAAATGATGTGGACTGATTTTGGGGAGCAGATTTTCGTGGTTAGTAATGGCTGAGAGCCTGCTTGGTACATTTGCCTCTGCGTCTGTGGGCAAATCATTGCTTGGCATTAAAATAGAAGCTAATTCTGTGATCAGAGACTTTACTTCACAGAATTCAAGTGTTTTTGAATGATGATACTTCTAGAGTTGATTTAATGGTGTAAAGAAAGCTGGCATTGGATAGAATGATTAAAAAATTAAATGTCACTCACACAACCTAGTGATTTTATTTTCTTCTTTATTTCAGGGTTTCGAAAAAACGATGAAATGAAAGCTATGGATGTTCTGCCAATTTTAAAGGAAAAAGTTGCATACCTTTCAGGTAAAGTTTAACTTTTTCATCTGCTTTATTGATTCTCTAACTACTTCGGACACAGTGTCAGACAAAGCCTCAAACACTGAACTAGCTCACCTGCCACACCCCCAGGAGCATTTGTATTTCGGTAGATTTTTAGGTGCTTTATTCTTGTAGCATTTTCCTGAGATATTAGTGTCCAAACATCTTCTTCCTTCTGCCAGGCACATCATAAGTGAGATAACACTGGTGATTGAAATGTTTGTGTCTGTCATTCCACAAACATTTGGCTCTTTTGCCCCGATCAATTAGGTAAAGCAACTGATTCCTTTAAAAGTTTGTCATCTCCGCAAAAGTGGTGGGAATGTGACCATATATGGACGCGGCCTGATTTTTTTTTACCTTGGTTTCTTGTACTTTGTGGCTACCTGTTGCCTCCTCTTTGGGGAGGTGAGGATGCCCATGTTTCCATGGCCGCTCTTCCCTGGGCCTCTGGTTCTGAAGTTTCTAGAACCCTTGTCATGGGCCGTGAAAGCTCCGGTGGTCTTTACCAGCCGGGTCCTCCATTTGCCTGCAGAACTGTAAAGCCATCTGTGGGGCTCCTGACCCTCCTGTAGTGGGTGACAGTCTGCAACAGTCCTCCAGGCCTTGGGCACTTGACTGCCCTCCCCTCTGCACATAGAGGACCAGCTGTAGGGCTTTTTCAGCCATTGGGTATTCCACCTTTTTGGCACCAGTTTACTTGTTACAAAACAAAGGTTTGCAAGATTATTCTGCTCTGTTTACGAGGAGGTGAATCTGTAGATGGTTACATGCATTTAGACAGTCTTCCTAAGTACGGTTCCCTCAATAACTGTTCATCTTTCTCAAACAGGCATGCCATGCTGACCTGCTGTCTCCTCGTGAACACGTTTTAGTTTGAATTTATAACCTTGCTAGCTGCTTTTACATGGTTTGTGTGTCTTTTTGGCTCATGGGAATGGCATATATATTTAGGATGCAGCCTCCTGTGGTATTTTTGTTACTCTTCTTACCTTGCTCTCTGTCGAACAGTATTTCTTAGCCCCCATCAGACACTGTTTGATGGTGTTGTTGAAGCGAATCTAATGCATAATGCATTTGGAAGGTAAACAGAAGATTATACAAAGTTCAGGAAAACAAGAAGGTGCTTTAGATTGATGGGAACACATGGTTAAAGAATGAAAAATCAAACAACTCTTGGCTCGTAATCCACTGTTAAAAGTAGCCTTTGCTGTTTTCTAATCAGTTACTGACAAACTGCCTGGTATGGACGCAGGCCAGTATTGTGAACTCCTGACTTTGTAGTTTACAGATGGATTTAAAGTTAACAGAATGAAAAGACTCTACTCATAAATATAAGAGGCATCTGTAAGAAGGGCTTAAAGCAGTGGTTCCCAACCTTCCTAATGCTGCGACCCTTTAATACAGTTCCTCATGTTGTGGTGACCCCCAACCATAAAATTATTTTTGTTGCTACTTCATAACTGTAATTTTGCTACTGTTATGAATCGTAATGTAAATATCTCATATGCAGGATGTATTTTCATCGTTACAAATTGAACATAATTAAAGCATAGTGATTAATCACAAAAACAATATGTAATTATATATGTGTTTTCTGATGGTCTTAGGCGACCCCTGTGAAAGGGTCGTTCGATCCCCAAAGGGGTCGCGATCCACAGGTTGGCGTCCCACAGGTTGAGAACCGCTGGCTTAAAGAAACCTGACCCCGAATGCTCATCAGTTTTTATCTTAAAGTTTGGATCTGCGATGAGAGTACCTGTTCCAGTTTTGCGGAGTTCTGCATTTCATGGAAAGGCAAAGGGATGTATCTCCCATCTTCTCGTATATTCTTGTTAGCATCTAGTATAGCCTGAGTCCAGTGACTGACTGGAGGGCCAGCTGCCACCAGAGGCCTTCCCAGAACTCTAGAGTCCTAGAGTGGTCATTAGAAAGAGTCTGTAAGCCAGTGTCTGACTCTCAGGCAGGAGGAGCCGAACCTGAGAAGGTACGGGGCTGGTGAGCTGTTGGCCTTGGCTGCTCCTGGGACAGGGGCCCAGTAGACGCCCTTTTAACAGAGGTTGTTACCTAATAGACTTACAGATTGTAGCCATAATTTCTCTCTTTTTTAAAAAAATATATTTTTATTGATTTCAGAGAGAAAGGGAGAAGGAGAGAGAGATAGAAACATCAATGATGAAAGAGAATCATTGATCGGCTGCCTCCTGCTCGCCCCCAACCAGGGATCGAGCCCACAACCTATGCATGTGTCCTTGACCAGTATTGAACCTGGGACCCTTCAGTCCACAGGTTGATGCTTTATCTGCTGAGCCAAATGGGCTGGGGCCATAATTTCTCTTTTACAAACTACATCTTCTCAGAGCTTTTCATGGTCATGAGGTAGATTGTTCCTCAGGGCGGGGTGGGGGTGGGGGCGTAAAGAATAGTTTTCAATGGTGTCCTAATCCAGAAATTCAAATAAGGGCCACACAGAGGAGAGAATGCAGTTGGTTCATTGGCATTTACATTGTACTTCTCACACAAAGTATGCCTTCCGAGAGAAGTTCATTCTCATTGGTTGAAAGGTGAGTTCTTAATTTATTTAAAGATAAAAGGGCAACTCTGCCCTGGGTTGCTCAGTTGGTTTAAGCATCGTCCTGAACACCAAAAGGTTGCAGGTTGGATTTCCGGTGGGGGAACATACCTAGGTTGTGGGTTTGATATGTGGTCGGGGCACCTTTGGGAGGCAATCAATTGATGTTTCTCACATTGATATTTCTCTCTCTCCCTCTCTCCCTTCCTCTTTCTCTAAAATCAATAAAAACTTATCTTCCGGTGAGGATTTTAAAAAAGGCAATTCTGAGTCTTGCTGTTTCTGGTCATTCTGGGCCATCCTGCTCAAGAGACCAAGAAGGAAATGAGCCATCACTGGGTTTACTCAGATAATTGTCACGCCTAACCGGTTTGGCTCAGAGGATAGAGTGTCAGCCTGCGGACTCAAGGGTCCCAGATTCGATTCCGGTCAGGGGCATGTACCTTGGTTGCGGGCACATCCCCCGGGGGGAGTGTGCAGGAGGCAGCTGATCGATGTTTCTAACTCTCTATCCCTCTCTCTTCCTCTCTGTTAAAAAGAAAAAAATGCTTTAAAAAAAAAAGAAATAATTGTCATTTATTTAGCAGACATTTGTAGCTAAAATGTGGAATCTTCTCAGCCTTCTTTTTAATATTAAAACAGACCCCAGTTCATTTAGTTAGCATCGTGTTTCCTACAGGAATGTTCAGGCATTCCCATTTTTAACTTCCTGATACCTGATGGTAGGTATTTTTATTAACTTTGTGTGGAATGTAGAAGAAGAATCCATTCATACAGCAGACATTTATTGATTCCCCTTTTTTATGTGCCCATCTCTCACTAGGCATTGAGAGTATGTATATACTGGTATCAGTGAATGAACAGATGCCTGCCTCCGTAGGGCTTCCATTCTTGTTGGGGGGACCAACAGACAGAAATGTGTAAGTTATACAGTTGGCTAGAAGGTCATAGGTGCCTTACAGAAATAAAGGGTGGGGAGAGGAAGGTAGAGAAGAAGCGGTTTTTATAGAATTGAAAAGGAGTGTCATTATGAACAAAAACTGTCCTTTTTATTTTCTCTTGTTTTTGACGAACATGCATTTGGAGAGGCAGATACTCCCCCTTGAGCTCTGGGTGTTTGATTACAGACACAAGGGAGGCCCAGAGACTGTGAACTCTCCTCCATGGACATCCTGTGACGTTGGTAGGTGCAGGAAATGGATTTCCTGCCCTTTTCTTTTTATTGTCCCAACTAAGGTGCTGAGTTTCCTGTCTATAAAATGGAATTGACATCTGTCCTGTCGGCCTCACCATGAGGCTGTGGGTTGACAGCAGACAACATGTTAGCATATCTAGTAGGCGATGCTTTTATAAGCTGCAGGATTACTCTATATATTAGTTCAGGAACAAGAACTTCAAAGCTGTAATTTTTCTGCTTCCTAACCCAGACAGTATTTTCATATGTTCTGGGGCATACATATGGGGCATACAATCTAATAGACATCTGTGGCATTGCTTTCAAGCTCCTTTAGGCTCAGAGACCATGTGCCTCTGAACTAACACTGCATTTCATTGATTCTAATAGGTTGATTTTTTTTAACCAACTGGGAGGGGTCAGCAGATGGCGCCTGTCCATCACTGACTGTAACACACCACAGATTGGAAGGTACACCCAATGCAGGGAGGTTAGCAAGTGAAAAGAAAATGTTAAATTATTTAAATAGAGAATGTGCCATTTTTATTTCATGAGTGATTTTTGATGAAGTTTTAAAACGACCCTAGAGAGTTTTCTGAAGCTCTATTCTAGAAAAAGACAAATTGAATTCTTTCCCTCTACTTTGAAATTCAAGTTTAGTTTTAAATTAGCTTTTTTTAGGACATGAGTGGGAGCCTATTTGGAGGGTGAGCTTGCCAGTACGTCTCAAGGGACTCCTCGTCAGTGGTACCAGCTGGGAAAATGTCTGTAGGTGAAAGGTGAAGCAGTACAACGGAAGCAGTCACCACGTCACACTCACTCATTGAGCTCTCGCTTCTGGAGTGAACAGGTGGCCATGCGCACTGTGCATACCTGTTGACGCCCCATGTGACACTTCGATGGGCAGATTTTGGATTCTATTTTGGTAGAGCCTGCTTGCTTGCATTAAGAGACACGATGAAAGGAGAGCTGAACACGGGTCATTGGCATTTCATCTCCCTGCTGAGTCAAACATTATGTTTCATTTTAAAAATTTAGGATGGAAATCCAGAAACATATTAGATAAGATTCTCTTTACCAAGAGTCAGGTGAATGTTTTTATCTAAATTTCATACTGTATCTTTAAAAGTTCAAGGTTCTATAATATGTGTTGAGCTGGAATACTTTTGATTAAGGTTATGAATTTCTTTTTGAAAAGAATGAAAAATGTTGGGGAATTAAAATAGCAAAATGTTTTCTGTCTTATATTGGAGACAAGAGGTATTTCAAAACCTAGAGTCATTGATATTCCCTAATAACACTATCTGATATTTTAGACAATTACTTGGTAATGACATTCCATTCATTATAATAGCATTGCTTCTCACTTTTTTTAAAAAAATGTTTTTACTGATTTTGAGAGGTAGGGAGAGAGAGAAACATCCACTGGCTGCCTCCTGGATGCCTCCTATTAGGGATGGAGCCTGAAACCCGGGCATGTGCCTAACTGGGAATTGAACCAGTGACCTTTCGGTGCATGGGACGATGCTCAACCATGTGAGCCACACTGGCCAGGGTTAATAGTACTTTTTATTCATAAACAAAGGCCTAGGAACTTATTGTTTAGTTGTCCTTCTGGTGTTTCTACTACTTTAGAAGGAACTGAAGCCACTGGTTTGAAAAATCATATAAGTTCTTGTCAGGGGGCAGGACCCAGCTGGCGCGTGCTGGCAGAGTCCTTTTGTCTTTATTTAAGCTCGTTGAGCGTCAGTATCTTCCATTATACTGCAGTCATGAAACTCTTAACAGGGTCATGTGGTGATCAAATCAGAACGTGTGTGTCAACCTCTGGACACCATGCATAGCATGTGTTGGTAGCTATGGTTTAGTATTATTCCCACTTGATACCAGAATTACTGGGCTTATAAGTAATTTAACACTTTTCTAGATGGTGTGACTACACGTGGATCATTTTAAATGTTCAGAATTAAGTTTTATTTCTGTTCAGAAACAGTGTTAATCATTCCAGGAAATTGTAAATCCCCATATTGGTAACATGTATTTTTAAAATAACATCTGCTGGATACTTTCTTGGCCCTTTTAAAAGCAAAGAATCTGGTTTTCTGTTGTTATTTGCTTGCTTTTTAATTTTACCTGTGCTGCTGAGGTAAGTAATTCAGATGAGAAAATAATTTAGAACTGCATATTGTGACTTGAATTTTGAGATCTTCGTGCTGTGCTTCTGAACAGAGATGCCCAGAGTTGAAAAACTAAATGGAGGTTCCACTTGGGAAGGCTCAGTTTTCCTTCCTGAGAACCCCGATGGAAGTAATAAAATATATGTGACACTTTCACCAGAAATGGTCAGAGGTATCAGCAGACTTCATTGGAATTGTGTCTATGTTAATGGGAAATATGGCTGCCTGTCTTTCAAAGACCAGTCATCATCTGAGATTTGTACTTATGTGATGTAATTTTTCTAAAGTCCTTAACTAAATTAGTTCTGCTTTACAATTCTTGCATGCAAAGCTCCCCCACCCCTTTTACTAGTATGTAGAGTGGCTTAGTGTGAGAGATTGGTAAAACTTGGCCAGGGGGGTCGGGCGCTGCCCTTGAGAGAGGAAGACACCTAGATCCAGATTATAGAAGTCATCAGTGTGAAGTTTGAAGAGCATCCCTGTCATTTTTCCTTTCAAGACTTAAATCCCAGTTTGTTTGGTAGCAGAGGGAGAGCTGAGAATGCAGGGCTGGGAGAGGAGAGAGGACAATGTGGAGGAGAATGAGAGGGACGGGGGCGGTGGGAACCAGTGGTTGGTTGTTCAAGGCGAATGAGCACACGTACGGGAAAACTTTCTTTCTCCAAACACGAAACTGAGGAAAGGAGGACACGTTGGAAGGAAAGGGCAGGCCTTCTGGACTATCTTCCAGGTGGTGTGCAGAACTCGGGTGAGCTAGGCTGGCCATGTGCCCGCTGAAACGGACTGTGGCCTTTTGCCCGTCCTTTCTGGCCCTGCGGTTGATAGAGGAACAGCTCTGTGGGAGTGGATGGTGACGCCGTTGGGCCTCCAGTGGCTCGTTAGCGTCCGTCCGCTCCTGTTTGTGTCTCAGTGTGCTCCCATGTTCGTTTCAGGTGGCAGAGATAAGCGCGGAGGCCCCATCCTCACGTTCCCGGCCCGCAGCAATCATGACAGAATACGACAGGAGGACCTCCGGAGGCTCATTTCCTACCTGGCCTGCATCCCCAGGTGAGTTCTGGTGGTTTGGGCTCCTCACTGTTGGCAGTGTTCTAGGATGTGGCACCGAGCTCTCTAGAAAACAGCTCAGCCCCAGCCCGAGTTCCCAGCAGACAGGTGGTGTAAACTTAAAAGTATGTTCTTTCTCCTCCCTTCACGTGGTGACCGTTCTGGTGCGGGGATGAGAGGTCGTGTTTTGAGTGAAGTGCTTTGTGTGATGACTGTGGGGTTGGGATGCCCACTGGCTGGGGTGTCAGGACGGGTGCCGGAGGTAGAAATGAAGAGTTGGGGTTGATGGTTCTGATCCCACGACCCAGAGTCCTGGAAGCCGGGAAAGAGTGGCTGCTTCTGATACGACACTGCTGTCTTCCCGCCGAGCTGGGGTTCCCTGCAAGCATCCTGTTGATTTGGAGCATGAAGTTTGTGGGGCAAAATCCTTCCCAGCTAATATGACAGGACGTCAGGTTTGGGAGCCCCCATTCAATCCGGGACGCCGTTAGGTTTTTAGTGTGGGTGCTGAAGAACACCAAGAATAGGCAAAGCTTCATTTTCCAGACAGGCCTGCGGAGAGGAACGATGAATAGCAATTGGCCTGTGTCTTTGTTTCTGTTCTCATTGAGGTTTTACTTACAGCACTAGCTGATAGCCAGTGAAAGAAATCACGCCACCCCCCCTCCACCCCATTAATATCTCCATTTAATTATTCAGGTTGCTGTTTGGAAAATGGAATACTACATCCCAGGATAAAGCCATGCCTGGAACAAGGGGCTGCTGTGTGTTGAGGTTGGAGGGGTGCTTCCTTCTGAAGAAAGGAAATCTTTATTCTAGAAAGGCACATGCAGAGGGAGGGCACTTCCGAAGAGACTACATTAGGACGTGTAATAAGAACAGAACTTGGTCATAACATAGGCTCAAGGAGACAGTAACTTTAAGGAACATGTTGCATAAGAGGACAATGAAGGATGGTCAAGGGCAGGATAATGGGCTGTAAAGGTGGGTGAATGTACTAGATCCTCCCAGCACAGGTTTTGGGGCACCACCCGGGGAGGACGGCTGTGCCCGCTCATAACCCATCCTTGCTGTCAGGGCTGATGAAGCGGACGGTCCAACCTGCTGAGGAAGGTGTTGGGTTTCTGTTTGGGGATCCTTATGGGAGAGCTGCACGTTGTTCATCAGCGACAAAGGGATAGCACGTGCGGAAAAGTTTTCCCTTTCCTTTTACTAGTTCCCTTTCCTCTTGAACTGGTGAACCATTGAAATCAAAGAGCTGGAAAGAGTTTTAGAAATTATATGCTACTCACTGTCATTTCTAAATATAGTGGATAGCTGCCACTTACTGAGTTCTTCTGTACCAGGTACTGTGCTGATGATGGAAAAAGAGATAGAGCAATACAAAGGACAAAGTAAAAAAAGTACTTAGCAAAATGAGAGTCGTCATGTAGTTTAATGAAAAACAAGTTGAGTTGGTATTATCCAGGTGATTTTTTAAAATTACGTAATTGAATTGCTGTATGTAACTTTGGCCATTTGCTTTCTGGTTTTGAAATCTGTTTTGATTATGAATGTGAAAATTACCTTTCATCCACATTACATTCTGGTGGTTTGGGGTTTCTCACTGTTTTCACTGTTTCAATATATGGCACTGTGCTCTCTAGACAACATTGAAACCCAGCCTGGATTCTAAGCAGACAAAGGAGTATACATATTATAAAAAAATTGATTCAGGTATTTTTGCATTTACCTGATGACCCACATTAAAAAAACACAAAAAACCTTTTCACTGGAAAATTATGAGTATACACAAAAGCAGGCAGAAGAGTGTAGCAAACATCACATTCCTGCCACCTAGCTTCAGCGATTAGCAGGTTTTGCTAATCTTGTTTTACTCTAATGTTGCCCCTGGAATATCTTGTAACAAATCCCAAGCATTCTATTATTTCACTCATCAACACTTAAGTGTGTAGGGTGACCCTCCAGCTGCTGAGGCAGTCACTTCATTTCATGCCTAGATTTGCTTTTGTATTTACAGTTCCAAGTGACAGGAAATGCCATTTTGCTTGTCTGTTGGTTAATGAGCAAATAGAGAGGTGGGAATAACATGTCAGTGATGCATCTGCCAAGTGATAATGGAGGGGAATTTCACAGGGAGTCCCTCTGGGTCCACCCCTGGTCCCACAATGACCGAAAAGAACTGTGTGGCCCCTAGTGAGCGCGGCTTTGTTTTAATCAAACAGTAGGATCGATAAAAGTCATCATCAAATTAATGGTGTGGGAATTTCGTTTTACTTTTTGAAATATATACACACACTTTGAATAGTGATTCAGGTAGTGTTTATTGTATTTTTAGTTAATCCTCACCTTTGGATATTTTTTTCCATTATTTTTGAGAGAATGGAAAGTAGGGAGGGAGGGAAGGGAGAGAGAGAAACACTGATGTGAGGGAAACACATCAATTGGTTGCCTCCTGCACACATCTGGACCAGGGCTGGGGATCGAATCTGCAACCCAGGTACATGCCCTTGACTGGGAATCGAACCCGCAACCCCTTGGTGCACGGGCTGACGTTCTCATCACTGAGGAACTCCGGGCAGGGCCATGGTGTGTGAATTCTTTGGGACTTGTGGGTTTGCTTGTAGTCTCAGTGGTGTAAGCAGTCTTAAGGGTCTGTGAGATTTCTTCCCCCATCCGTTACTCCTGAAATTTCCTGCGATGTGAAGGTGGCCCCTGGCTGTCCCTCAGCCAGATAGTCTTGAGATGTGCCCTCCAGAATGTGGAGAAGTGTGCCATCCTGGAACGCACAGGCAGTTAGACTGACTGTGCCCTGGCACGAGCTACTAATTACTTTTATCCGTCTTCCGATCTACAGAATGTGATGTTAATCTATACTTCTTTGGATCCTTGTAAGTATTGAGTAAGATTATTCACGTACACGCCCAGCGCAGGGCCTCCGGTCCCGTAGCTGCCTCAGAAGTAGCACACTAATTTCCATCTTTCGCATCCGCTCTCCTCCGTTCCTTCTGTTATTTTCCCTTTGATGTGTTCTGAGCCAGATCAGCCCGTTTTTCTCCTGCACGATCTCTAGGTTGTCTGTGCCTCTCAGAGCGTGGCCCCCAGAGTTAAATGTAATGTGATCTGGGAGAGGTGAGGAGTTGAGGTTTCTTACATGGGTCACCTTCCATTCCTCTCCCCCTTCTTTAAAAAAAAAAAAAAAAAGGAGTAACAGAGTGATTATCAAAGAATGCATGTGCAAGGAGACTGCCTATGGAATGAGTGCAGGAGAAGCAAGTCGCAGCAGAACTTGTTGCTGGTGTGGTGGGGATTCCTGCCCAGCCATGAAAATAACAGTGGACTTGGTACGTCTCTAGGTGTTCATTGTTCTTATTGCTTGAATTATATGAATTATGCTCTAGAACATTAAAATGATTTTTAGCAGCTAAATGGATAAACCACTCCCACTCTCTTTGGTCCCTAATGAAATAATGTGGAGACTTTGAATGAATTCAATCATGAACTTTCATATAAGAAGGGACTTTATTTTTTAATTGTTTAAAGTATTACATATGTCTCCATTTTGACCCCCCTGCCACACCCACCCCCCAGGACAAGCTCCCACTACCCCAGTGTCTGTGTCCATTGGTTATGCTAATATACATGCATTCAAGTCCTTTGGTTGATCTCTAACTGCCCCCTCCCCACTGCCTTCTCTCTGAGGTTGGACGGTCTGTTCAGTGTTACCTTGTCTCTGGATCCATTTTTGTTCATCAGTTTATGTTGTTCATTATATTCCACAAATGAGTGAGATCATGTGATATTAATCTTTCTCCGACTGGCTTCCTGCACACTCTCTACTGGGGAAGTGCCCGCAACCAAGTGCCCTTGGTTGGAATTGAACCTGGGACCCTTGAGACCGCAGGCTGACACTCTATCCACTGAGCCAAACCAGTTAGGGCTAGTTCCTTCTTTTTTATAGCAGCATAGTTTTCTATTGTATAGATGTACCACTGTTTTTTAATCCACTCATCTGCTGATGGGTACTTAGGCTGTTTCCAAATCTTAGCTATTGTGAATTGTGCTGCTATAAACATAGGGATGCATATATCCTCTCTCATTGGTGTTTCTGGTTTCTTGAGATATATTCCTAGAAGTGGGAGTTCCATTTTTAACTTTTTGAGGAAACCCTATACTGTTCTCCACAATGGCTGCACCAGTCTGCATTCCCACCAGCAGTGCATGAGGGTTCCTTTTTCTCCATCCACCTCCTCACCAGCACTTGTTGTTTGTTGATTTGTTGATGATAGCCATTTTGACAGGTGTGAGATGGTACCTCAAGAAGGGACCTTCTTTATCTAGGAACTAAAGAAAGTAGAGTTTCTCTTTTTCAGAGACGTGTGTTGAGAGGGGACCTCTGTTTTATCTAACTTTTCTGTATTTCATAGATAAAATGAGGTTCTTTGATAAAACTGCCAACCAAACTGGTGAATAAGTCACACTTTCCAGTGTGCTGGTTAATATGTATTCGAATAGCAGTAGCCCATCTCCTGTTGCTAACTGCACACGTTCCTTGGCTGCTCACATACAGAGCTGGGTTCAGGGAGGTTTGCAAGCCACAATTTTCCTAATAGTGACTGGCTTTGAACTTGGTAAAGACAGATGGATTGAAAGGGTGTGCACTCCCAGCCCAGTTCCCTTGTAGTTTTCATTTCTCGGGACGTCATGGGTACTTACAGTTAGATTGTGGAGGAAGGGGAGCGGTTAATCCTTCTGTAAACGGTGCAGGCTCAGGGTACCTTCTGGTTGGGTCCTTCTTCGGCTTGTTCCTGTTGTTAAGCCTGGAGTTATTCGGGATTCGTTTTAAGCCCCTTTCAAGTGGAGGACTTTGCGGTTGTGTGTGCACACTGTGCGGGGCTGTGTGAGGAGGAAGCCAGGCTGCCGGAGAGTTTGTCTGGATACGGTGACGACTGATGTTTAAAGCGCAGCCTCCCAAACGGCAGCTGATCACCCCGGGAGGCTGCAGTCTCCCTCCGGCTTGTGGGGCAGCAGAGCTGGGAGCTGGAGCAGAACGCCCCAGCGGGTCAGGCTTCCTCCTGCCCAGGCTGGCCTGGCCCGGGCCTCAGGAGCCCTGGGGTGTCTACAGAATGGGACCTTGCACTGCTCACCCCATTAGAGTTCAGGGAGGTCCAGGAATGTAGTGTGACTTCATTTCAGCGACTCGGGAGGTTTTCTGGCATTTCTGGAAGTCCTGCTCGCCTCTAGGACAGTGGTTCTCAACCTTCAGGCCCTTTAAATACAGTTCCTCACGTTGTGACCCCCAATCATAAAATTATTTTTGTTGCAACTTCATAACTGTAATTTTGCTACTGTTATGAGTCGTAATGTAAATATCTGATATGCAGGATGGTCTTAGGCGACCCCTGTGAAAGGGTCATTCGACCCCCAAAGGGGTCGTGACCCACAGGTTGAGGACCACTGCTCTAGGATTTGTGAGGGAGGCCTTTGGTGCCTGGATTGTGGCCCAGGACCTGCTTGAGACCCGGAGAGCTGACAGCAAAGCATGAGGCGTGCGTGAGCCCAGTGTTAACTCCCTTCAATTCATGGTCATAGGCGTAGGTGACTGATGAATGAGATCTTTCCTACAGTTCTCCACACGTGAGTGATAAACTAGGCTGCTGGGTTCTTCGTTTTCTCTTTATGGCTTCAACACTGTGTTCCTCGGTCTGTGAGCCGCCATCTACTCGGGTTCTGCCCCCACAGACTTTTTCAGAATATTTTTGTGACAAGTCTTTTATACTGAGGTAGTTATCTTAGGAACTTTACATTGGAGAACTTGGGATGTCAGTTACTCCCATGGTATGAATCAAGGTAAGGAAAGAAGTGTGTGTGTGTGCGTGCGTGTGTGTGTGTGTGTGTGTGTGTGTGTGTATGGAAAGAAGGGAGGGAGAGGGAAGAGGAGTGAACTCATGCAAGAGAGCATAAAATTGGTTTTAATTTTTTGGCTTTTTAACATCACTTAATGATAGCAATTAGTTTTCCGAGTTTTTAATTTAGACTAATTTCTCATGGTAATTACACGAGGCAGAAAAAATGTCAGAAACCTTTTCATAGTCCCAGTACATTCATGTTGGGTGAACACCTAAAATTCCCACTGGGAGGATTGAGGCCTTGCGTGGATTTCCGCAGAGCTCACAGGCAGCCTCCCCGGCTCGGGTCTGTGCCAGCAGCAGCAGCCTGCGTGGACCGTGTGTGCACCACGCGCCGGTGAGGGCAGGGCTGCTCTCCAGTGGGCGGCCGTGTAACACTGACGCTACAGCCGAACGAGACCAGGGTCTCCCCTGTCTTTCAGGACTCTGACTCCTGTTGTTTCTTCTTTATTACACAAGCGCATTATATATATTTACCATGTACTCGGGTTGGGACTTAACTACATTAATCACTTTTGTTGCTTCATCGAGGTCACTCTAAAGAGAGCAGGCTCTTTGGTGGTTTTGTCGCGCTGTGAGCACGTGGGGAGGAGGAACAGCGGCTCCTTGCTCTGCCCTGCTCTGTGCTGAGGGCCAGCACAGTTCCCACCATTTCACCCGTCAGTGCAGCTGGTGAAAGGCAGATATTTACTGTGAAAATAGATTGGCCCCGAAGACTCGGCCAGAAGGGCGCCACGGACCCCCAGTCCAGGGCCCGGGGACAAGTCAAAGGGGACAAAGTGGGACATTGAAAAGCCCCAGCCATTGCTGCCAGCTGCTGGCGGGGTAGTTTTCACGCCTGTGGCTGGGGAGTCCGGGGGCTGCTGTTGATGGTGTGACACCTCCACCTGGTTCTGTGCACGCTGCCAGGGACGGCCCATCCAGCGCTCGCTAAGAACCTTTGCTGCAATAGTTGCGAGGCAGCAGCGTGTGTGGTCAGTTAACACACAAAGGTGGTTTTTCTCCTAAAGAGGAGACAGGATAGGAAACCGGGAAGACAAGATCAAGTTTTAAAGGTTTTCAGAGTTGAACCCTGTCCCCAGTCATCATCGCTCTGATGCACGCATAGCCAGAGTCTGTTCTTCTATGACCAGGGAGGTGAGAGCGTCTGGTTCCCTGGGTAAGACCTGAGCTCTTTCTGAATCGATTCCATGTCCCTCCATGCCTCTCCCTACCCCCTCGCAGTGCTGACCCGCAGCCAGGCTGTGGGTGGAGGGGGCACCCCTTCCCTTCAGTTTCCCTCCTAGACCAGGAGGAAGGCAGCAGAGCTAGCGCCGCCCAGTGGGACTCTCTCCAGAAGAAGTGGCAAGAGGCGTACGGCTTGAGCGTGTGTTTCCTTTCTCTCCAGTGAAGAAGTCTGCAAGCGAGGCTTCACGGTGATCGTGGACATGCGTGGTTCCAAGTGGGACTCCATCAAGCCTCTGCTGAAGATCCTGCAGGAGTCCTTCCCCTGCTGCATCCACGTCGCACTGATCATCAAGCCGGACAACTTCTGGCAGAAACAGAGGACTAATTTTGGCAGCTCTAAGTTTGAATTTGAGGTAACTTCCGTGTGTGGCCAGCCCAGCTACAACCACACCTATGGTTTAATGAAAAAAAAAAAAAAAAGATTTTTTTCCCCCCTCCTCATTGTAGGCTGGTATTAGATTTTTTAAAACCACATATTAGAGGGAACTGCGTATCTTATGTACATATGTGAAATTAGTTATGGCATGAAGTAACAAAAGTAGGCTCATTTATCGTGTCATCCTAGTGGGTCGCTTACCCAAGGTGGGTTTGGGTGGCTTGTCAGGACGCTGTCTTGCAGACAGTGTATACAGCATTAATTTGTTTTCCTTCCTACCATCACCACTCCTTCAGTTTCCAAGGCTCCGACAAGGCTTTGGTGCGGCAGTTTAATGAGATGATTATCGGAAGAAAGTGTCTGGCCAGCTTGAAACTGGATTCATGCCGTACATATTCTGTAATAAAATTTGAAAATTTTCTAATAATATATTATAATAACTTTTGGTTCAATAGATTGCTTCTTCTAGCAACTTTTCCCTAAACATTAGGGTTCAGTGACTATATTCATGTAGTTTAAGGTAGACAGTGTGGGGGTGCAAAAAATAATTTTTACCCCGCCATTCTACGTTTTCTGGCTGGTCTAATAATCAAATTAACAGGAGACAAGACTACAAGAAAATGTCCAGAATTTATTCCGGATGTATATGCAGGAGTGCCGTGAGGCTATGAGGCCTGCAGATGCATTGGGCAGTTGAGGTTTATATGCCATTCTGGACAAAGAAGGGGAAGGCAGGGGTCTGGGATGCCAAAGGGAAAGCAGGTGGTTTGCAGGTCACTGAGAAAGAGCAAACATGTAAAGAGTTCTTGCTGGGCCCCCCAGAACCAGTGGGACGCAGAGGGGAGTCCAACAAGCAGCTCTGCCAGCCACCTCCCCTCCCTGTAGTTTATATCCTGGCGCCAGGTGATGCTCTCTTCCTTCAAGCAGCTTTTTCTCTCTGAAGCAAGTGAAGGGTCAGCAGTTCTTTCTGAGCTTATTGTTTCTTAATAACCAGCCTAAAATCAATGTCCCAAAAGGCATATTTTGAGGCAGCAAAACTTTGGTCCCCCTCAGCAGCAATAATGGTATTAAACACATCACCCAGTATTAATCCTCAAGCCTTATGTGACATGTTACCCTTTTCAAAGTGTTGTTACTTCCATTTTTAAATCTCTTTCCCTGGAACTGATTTTCGATCTGAAATCAGAATTTACTTTTGATTTGAAATTGTGTTCAAGAGATTTAGGTGAAACATGAAACCAGTAAGCCTTTATCTTCAGATACAATTAGAAGTGATTTTGGAGGACAATTTATTGGGTCTTACTATTTTCTTGATGTCAAATTTAAAGTGTGTTGCATTTACTGATACATGTTTTAAGCAGACGAATGGTTTGGCAAACTAATGCACGCAAGGTTTTGCTAGTTGAAATTTGATCTGTCCCTTGGCCTTCGAGGTTACCTAGACCGGTTTTTCCATTGAACTTGTTTGCCTCCAGGGACATTATTAAAAGTCCAGGCAGATGAGACGGGAGTGAACTGCAGTCACATGGCAGCAGAAGTGCTTGCTAAGGAGCAGCCCCTCTTTGTAGCTTGGCTGCCTTCACGGTTTCTTACGCCAAACAGCACCAAGGTGTAGGCGTAGGTTTCTCTAAGGCTGGAGGTGACAGGTGGGACTGCACCCGCCTTTTTCTCTTTCCTCTTTTGGTTCTAGGCCACGGATCTTCCTCCTTTGCATTTAATCACCCTGCCCTCCGATGCTTTCCTTGAAGCATAATTCTTACCTAATCCTGCAGCAGGTCTGACAGGTAGGGTGAGGCCAGGATTTCCTGTTTAGGTTGTAATTGACTAAAACTGTATCACATAGTGCAACACTTGTACTGCTCAGAATCTAGCAAAGAAACCTTCTGTCTTTACCTTTGTGAAAAGAGCTTCTGCCAGCTTTCTGGCTAACCCTTGTATGTTTTCTACATTTTAAAAAGCCATTCATGTCCTCTGAGGTGTTACCTGACAGGAGGTGGAGTTTAGGAAGGGGAATGGTGAGGGTGGTCTGGTTGGAGCAGCGCTGGTCCGTCCCTTAACAAGCAGCCCCCACACAAGTGTCCTTAGTGGGAGGTGGTGCTCCAGAGGGATTTTGGGGCCCACGAACAGGACGCGAGCGTGACTGCAGGGAGAAGGAAGCCTGGGCAGAGTTCTCTGCTGAGAGTGAGATGGTGGATGGGTGTGGATGAGGAAGGCTGCCTTGACAAAAGGGAAATGTCTGAATCGTCTGCTCTGTTCTTGGCAATTTGATACATTTCCTGGTTAATGTGCCTAAAATCGAGCGTTAGTGTCCACATTCTTGGAAAGAAATCTAATATCTTTTAAAAAAATATATTTTATTGATTTTTTACAGAGAGGAAGGGAGAGGGATAGAGAGTTAGAAACATGGATGAGAGAGAAACATCGATCAGCTGCCTCCTGCACACCCCCTGCTGGGGATGTGCCCGCAACCAAAGTACATGCCCTTTACCAGAATCGAACCTGGGACTCTTCAGTCCACAGGCCGACACTCTAGCCACTGAGCCAAACTGGTCAGGGCGAAATCTAATATCTTCAGCTCTCATGAAATACATATAAGTCTAAAATTTTAGATATTCCAGGTAACATACATGTGTTGCTCTAATGGATTTATTTTCACCAACTATACTGTAGGGCTTCATTTACTTATATTTATGGGGCCAGAACAAGGTATGTTATGTTTTCTATAAATAGATTACCTGCTTTAAGTTTGAAGATCTGTGCCTAAACTGCTTTATGCTAAGACCATCCAGAGTTGGCTCATCTTCTCATACCTGTTTTTTCCCCCTAAGACAAACATGGTCTCTTTAGAAGGCCTTACCAAAGTAGTCGACCCTTCTCAGCTAACTCCCGAGTTTGACGGCTGCTTGGAGTACAACCATGAGGAATGGATTGAAATCAGAGTTGCTTTTGAAGATTACATTAGCAACGCCACCCACATGCTGTCCCGGCTGGAGGAGCTTCAGGACATCCTGGCCAAGAAGGAGTTGCCTCAGGATTTGGAGGGGGCTCGGAACATGATCGAGGAGCATTCCCAGCTGAAGAAGAAGGTGATTAAGGCCCCCATCGAGGACTTGGACTTGGAGGGACAGAAGCTGCTCCAGAGGATCCAGAGCAGCGACAGCTTTCCCAAAAAGAACTCAGGGTCAGGCAACGCGGACCTGCAGAGCCTCTTACCCAAGGTGTCCGCCATGCTGGACCGGCTGCACTCCACGCGGCAGCATCTGCATCAGATGTGGCACGTGCGGAAGCTGAAGCTGGACCAGTGCTTTCAGCTGCGGCTGTTTGAACAGGATGCTGAGAAGGTAAAGGAGAAGGGAGAGGGATGCTAAAAGTGGGTACACAGGGAAGCTTTCTGGATCGTTTGGTCTAGAGCAGCGGTTCTCAACCTGTGGGTCGCGACCCCTTTGGCGGTTGAAGGACCCTTTCACAGGGGTCGCCTAAGACCATCCTGCATATCAGATATTTACATTACGATTCATAACAGTAGCAACATTACAGTTATGAAGTAGCAACGAAAATAATTTTATGGTTGGGTCACAACATGAGGAACTTTATTTAGAGGGCCAGAAGGTTGAGAACCACTGGTCTAGAGAAAGGGCTGGGGCAGAGTAAGCGACTCTCACGGTGTCGGTTAGAGACTAGAGACGGAGAGTGTCAGTTCCGGGACCGCCCCTAAATCTGCTTCCCATGGTCATTCCCTGTGCAGTGCAGTGCTACTTTAGAAACTTTGAGTTGTTAATTACTGATAGTTTCGAATGCCTGTAAGATAGACAAGAATGATATCTTCGGCTAAAAGAGTGAATGTTTTATAGCATTATATTATTGAAAGCAATAGTTATGTACAGGGTGTCCCCAAAAATGTATATACACTTTAACAGCTGATAGCTCAATTTTGAAAATTAAATGTATTTTAATAAACACTGCCTTATAATTACTCAAAGTGTGTGCATACATTTTTGAGGGGACACCCTATATGTATGTCATTTGCTAATTTCTGCTCTTCCACACATACAAAGCCAGTGACAGTACACCATTCAGATCTATTTTTAAAAAGGGTGAATAATTAGTTAAAATTAATAGTTTCTGGGAAATATAGGCAATAATAATTTATGGTCTCATATCTTATTCTTGTGCTCCAGATAAACCAACTACTCAGCGAGAATTCTTGCCAGTTACCGGCTAACTCAGTCTTAGTCATGGGAAAGCAGTGCACTTCTCTATGGGAATGTGGTGCAAGCCATGGGTGTGGGTGAATTGGTCACTCTTCATTTGATCTCATGGACTGTTTTTCATGGACAGGAGAATGTTTTGTAAAGTAAAGCAAACAAACAAACAAAAAGACTACATTAGAAATAAAGGACCTTTTGAAAGGTGACCCTCCAGTACTGTTCTTTGGTAAGCTTTTCTCATACCTGCCAGTGCACTTAGGTTTTATTTAGGTGCTGCTTTGTCAAAGACACTGGAGAATCTTCCTTCTAATTATTAAAAAACCCCACAAAACAGGTGGCCATCTCAGATTCTGCTTCAAGGCACAGTATCAGTGCTAACTGATAGGCGTTTATCCTATATAATAAAAGGGTAATATGCAAATAGACCGAACTGAGGAATGACCAGTCGCTATGATGCGCACTGACCACCAGGGGGCAGACGCTCAATGCAGGAGCTGCACCCTGGTGGTCAATGCGCTCTCACAGGGGGAGTGCCGCTCAGCCAGAAGCTGGGCTGACGGCTGGCAAGTGCAGTGGCCCACCTCCGCGGCAGCACTAAGGATGTCCAACTGTGGGGAGCGGGCCTAAGCCGTCAGTCGGACATCCCCTGAAGGGCCCCCCCCCCCATCCAGTGCACGAATGTCATGCACCAGGCCTCTAGTTTTTCTTTAAATGCTTTCCTTGTGAACAACGTAGTCTACATCCTTGTCCAGGTAGTCTCTCCATTGAACCTTAAGAGATATGTCTTTGTTAAATTTTTTCCCAATCCTTTTTATTTTCACAGTAAATTTTATTGTTTGCATTTGCCCAGGTTTTTTTTGTTGTTTGTTGTTGTTGTTTTTTACTTCTTGCATTCAAGAACATTATCTTATAGTCTTTGGCATTGCTATCACCAAAACCCACCCAGAGATGATAAATCCCTAATACCTAACAGGTCTTTAGTTGAAGAGTAGTTTGGGCCATTAAGTAGTTCAGTATAGCTTGGGGGCTGGGTTGAGAGTCAAAAGATGAGTTTGTCATTAGCCTGGGGGACTTGAATATCTTTGCTCCATCCATCCTCATCTGTCAAAGGAACCATCTGTTAGATAAGATTTTCTTACAGGTCCTGCAGGTTCAGAACTCTGCTAACTTCTGAGAAGTCAAGAATCCTGGACCCAAATGCTGAGAGGTTATCGAGGAAGAACGTTGCCTCTTCTGCGTTTGGCCCTGTTCCCGGGTTCGTGTCAGTTCATTTCTTTTTCCTGGAGTGATTCAGGTTGTCTTTTTCGTTCCGGTAGATGTTTGACTGGATCACACACAACAAGGGCCTGTTTCTGAACAGCTACACTGAGATTGGGACCAGCCACCCTCACGCTATGGAGCTTCAGACGCAGCACAACCACTTTGCTATGAACTGTATGGTAAGACTGTCGGGATAGTTGTATCCTTTGAGGGAAGGGATTTTAGGGAACGGGACACACACAGATCACATCCCAGCATGCAGCCAGGAGGCCATGTGGGCCTTCAGAATTTCTGATTTGATGATAGCAGCTGACCTCCAAGTGTCCAGTTCTCAGTGCTCGCAGTGTCTAAGTAGCTTGTTTTCAGTTTTCAACAAACAAAAATGTAAACAAGCAAACCAACTAACCAGTGAAACTTGCACCAGCTACGTGGCCAGTTCACCATGGATGGTTCTGATGCCCATTCCTGTGCTCCGCCCCTTGGGAGCTGCAGGTTGCTGGGTGCCACCGTGTTCCCTTACCTGCGCCAGAAGTAATGGGGATGTGGAGAAGGCACTCTGCGCAGACCAGCACTCTGTGAGCACAGTCTGTTTAAGGACATGAAAGTGATCAGGAAACTAATGGGTTCAAGGGGCAATGAGTACCCACAGTGGGTCCCACAGCAGAGCCGTCCACATGGACAGCTCTTGTCAGGATTCTAACAGAGGGCATCTGCTTGAACTGTTCCTCTTTAAGGGAACAGAGAAAGCAAAAATGAGCAAATGTCATTACCTGGCACTAGAGATAGAGCATGCGTATGCGAAAGGGCCAGGGACTTAAAGGACACTAGTTATAAGCGTTAATGCCGCAGGAACCAGGGAGGCCAGTTCCTTGCTGACTGTGGCCTTGACTGGCTGTCACAAGCTCACAAAGTGGCCTCCCTCCCTGACACTGTCAACACCCCTCTGTTAGCTGAGTCTAGCTTGCACATGCAGCCCAGAAAAGTAATTCAGAGGCTGCATGCAGTCTGTGGCTCGCTGATCCCAGGCATAGGCGACTCCTCCTAGTTAGGTTTGGGGCAGAAATGAGTAAAAGACTGTACAGGGGAAGAACGGACAAGTGGATACACTTTCTTGGGTGGGCTCAGTCGAGGTAACAACCACCAGGCTCTTGCAGAGGTCTGGGTGCCAGGCCGTGGGGGACTGGCCCACAGGACCAGTGTGGGAGGGAAGAAAAATGTAGAGAAGTTTGGACAGGGAAGGTAGTGAGATGTAGGGGCAAGATTGGGAGGAGCCATAGTTGTGTCTGTGATTTTGGGGGACTATAGAGAGCACAATGTTCTGATGCATCACAAAGCATCCTAAGTATGTGAATACACCAGCCTGGGCTTTGTTGAAGGTGTGTATCCCCACCCCAGCCTTGGCTGTAATGGGACTTCAAAGAAGATGGAAGGTGGAAAGGGAAATATCATAGCGAAAACTTGTTTTGCAAAAAGCGCAGTTTTTTTAAGCCTCGCTCCCTTATTTTTTCAGGACACTGGTGGACCTGAAGATAGGAATCTCAGCAGAGTAGAAAAGCTTGATTTAAAATTTGAACAAAGCATTGTTCTGTGTCCCAATTCATATTCCTTGGAGAAAGTGCATCCATTTAGAGAATATTTTCAGTTGGCACAAAAAAGAAGACTTGGATTTATGGAGAAAGGAGAGCTTGTTTTCACACAAATAGCCTTGGGTGGCTACGGACATATTTAGTGGTTTCTGGGTCCTAGTTAGAAGCGGAACGGTTGGGGTCCTGCAGTTCTGGGTGACTGCTCGTCAGGCGGCTTGCCATCTGGACCCTTGTCAGGACCAGGAGCCAGGAAGTGAGTAATAGAGTATTTGTGTGCACACACTTGTGCTTTTGATTGCTCTGGCCTAACAAGATGCCTTTCAGCCCGTTGATTTGTAATTTTGCAGTCTGACAAACAGATAGGGGAACCAAAACTCAGAGTCCACGGAAGTCCAGACAGCAAATAGGTATACCATTCTACACCAGGTGACTCTGCTGTTAAGAATATCACTTTTAAGCGAATAGGCCATGTTTCAGGAAATTCTATCCATGTGTTTTAAAGGAAGCCTCCTGTTTGCCTTCCGCTAAGGAGCCCTCTCTTTCTGCCCCTTCCCCAGAACGTGTATGTCAACATAAACCGGATCATGTCGGTGGCCAATCGCTTGGTGGAGTCCGGCCACTACGCCTCTCAGCAGATCAAGCAGATCGCCAACCAGCTGGAGCAGGAGTGGAAGGCGTTCGCCGCGGCGCTGGACGAGCGCAGCACCCTGCTGGACATGTCCTCCATTTTCCACCAGAAGGCTGAGAAGGTCAGTGCCCATCACGGGGTGGGACCGCCCGCTGCCTCCCCCGCACCTCCCCCCCGAGGCCAGATCCTTGGGGGGCTTTGTGTGGCACCGAATCACCTGCGCTCTGCCGACCGTCAGCTGGCTTACCCCTCGCTGTGCAACCTGAGGCAGGTGGTTTAACCTCCCGTTCCTTAGTTTCTCACTTGTAAAGTGGAAATAAAAGTTGGCTTGAGAGGAGTTTTACTGTGAAAATGAGATGATTCATATTAGGTGCCCTGCAGAGCGCCTGGCATGCGGTGGGTACTAACAAGTGGTAGCGCTGTTCTTTACCCCTCTCCTCCTCCTTTTCTCCCCCCTCCTCGTTATCACTGCAAGACTCTAATTAGGATGCTGTGGCAGCAGGTAACAGAATGCCTGGCTGTCAGGCTTAAACATCAGGGCTTTGCTTTCCTCCCAAAACAAGAAGTGACAAAGTATAGGCAGTTCTAGCCAGACCCGATGCCAGGGCTGGGCTGCTCGACCTTGCGCTCATGGTCACAGGATGTAGGCCACAGCTCCCAGCACCAGCCCTCCACTTGGTGTCCGGGGAGTGCAGGGCTGGCAGTGAGTGTCGTCGCCCATCACTTTGATCAGGGAAACATTACTGTCAGGAGATCCCTCCGCCAAGTGCTTTCCGTAGTCCAG